TCCACACACACTATTAATTTTAGTATAGATGAAAAAGGAAGGGAAGAGCTTAAATCAGCTCTCCGCACAACCGAATAAAAAGAAAAAGAAAAAGATAAAATTATAGGAGCAAGGAGAAAAGGGAAAAGAGATATTGAGATGGAAAAACGAGTCCATTTGGTATCCTACTCAAAAAAATGAACTCAAAAATCATGATTCTTTTTAAAAACAAGAGTTTTCAAATACTAATTTTAAGATCTAAAAATTAATTATGCTATTACTATTAGGTAATTAACAGTAATTTAATTATATAATAATTGCCGACCTGTAAGATTTTAATTATATAATAATAATTGCCTTAATATTTTAATTATACATCTATAAGATTTTAATTAATATAAATATCGTTGTGAGTTTTAGTTTTATTTATTAATCTTGGAAATCGTTACTTGTATGTAAAGTTTATCTTGGTGAAGAATTTGCACAACCCCAAGTGGTTGTTGAGCCAAATGAAGTAGATGCTTTTGTATAAATCACATAAATTCAAACACAAGGTACTATAAGAAGTATACAGCAAAGTGACACTAGATTTAACATGGAAAACCCTTCAATGTGGAGGAAAAAACCATGAGACAAACTCCGAAATTTGTTGCACTAGTACTAATGAAAAGGCCATTACAAGCACTAATTGATCTCTCTAAAATTTTAGAGGATGACTTCAAGAGAACAAACTCTTCTTGATGAACTTTCTCTCTTACAACCACTAGTGGACCCAGAAACTTTATAGCAGATATGCAATTTTGAAAGGCTAAAAGTTTTATTAAAAAAAAAATTGAATACAATAAACAAACCATAATTGATCATACCTCAAGTCGTGCATTGCATAATCATAAGAGCCAAATCAGAAAAATAATAATAATTAAGAAGTAGATTAAACAAAAGGGGGGAAAAAGAACCGAAAAAAAAGAAAAGAAAAGAAGAAGAAGAGACGAATTGGCTTTTGGTCAAAAAGGAAAAAAAAAACGCAGCTAAACAGACTTACTTTTGGTGAAGAAGGAAAAAAAAACGCAGCAATAGAACCAATTGATTTCCTTCTTTTTAAAATGCTTTTGTAATCCTTGTTGAAATAAGAAAATAAAACATGTTTAAAGCCCACGAAATGTAGGCTTAAGCATATTGTTTTATTGCAGTCTAGTTTCCTCCTCTCTTTTTTTATACTTTTGCCTGGCTCAAAACGATGTCGTTTTTGGCCAGGACTTCAAAAAAAAAAAAAAATAGGTGCGTGCTGCGCAACGCAACAAACATAATTTGGCTAAGTTATTTTGTCGAACACCTGGAGTGCACCACCACCAACTGAACAAAGAGGCAATTTGAAGCACCTACAATGGTTTTTCCGGTGAGGGGAGGTATAGCTGCACCTCCTTACACCTTAATAGGTTTGCCACTACTTACAACTAGAGGAATAACAATACACTCTTTGCAGAAAAACTGCAGGATACCCTCTTTAAAAATATGCATAATAACTCAGTCTAGAAAATTAAATTAATCACTTCAAAATACTACCTTACTTTGTTTTACACGAAATATATGAATGTGGCGTGAGATGAAAGAAACTAATACGCGGGAAACTACACCGTCTATTACTATGTCATTTTCTTTTGTTTTCTTCCTTAAATGAAAATTTGATTTAAAATGATAATGTAGCGTGAGATGAAAGAAATTAACACGCGGTAAACCACACCTACAGCTGTAAATTAATCACTTCAAATACTATATATATATATATATATATATATTTTGTTCTCTTTCTTAAATGTAATTTTGAAACAAATAAAAGGATAATGTGGCGTAAGAGAAGAATTACCACGCAGTAAACCACACCGTCTGTTTAACAACCTGCCTTTACTCATAGCATATATACCATCCAAGCCCCTACATAATTAATATCTTTCCTTCCCAACTTCAAAGGAAACAAAACCTAGTTTTCACTTTCACATATTGTTGCTCAATAATCATGGAGACTGCAAGGGGTCTGGGATTACCAGTCGGATGTCGATTCGAGCCATCTGAAACGGAGCTCTTGGCTCACTATCTTTACAACAAGGTAAATGGTTTGCCGCTTTCTTCCAACACAACGATCTCTGATTGGGTATATAAGCGAATGTTCTCATATGTTCCCAAAAAGACGTCCACCAAGGCGAAGGGAGAAATGGTCATGCATGAGTTTAGGCTTGTTGGATGCCTTCTGAACAACAACATAGTAATTCATTCCAGTCTTGTATTTATAATTGGATCGTTTTGGTTCTTTGAATATTATTTTCTTGGAGTTCTCTTTATTTGTTCTTTAATTTTCCCTAAGTTTCCAGGTTATATATATATATATATATATATATTATTAATATTTCTTCAGATTTTACGTCTATGTGAAAGTGGACTTGGTTGCTGCCGCCATCTTTGGCCCATTAGGATTTCATATTTTTTTATGTTCCAGTCGATGTGTGTGATATATCTTTTATTAGGGTTTTCATAAATAGACGTTTGAATAATTTTGTTGTTCTTGTATGAATCAAGATAATGTATATCACAAATCCGATGGCTATAATACTATTAATCCTTGACTAATAAACCCCTTCGAAAATTTAAAATGAAAGATTGTAACCATAAACAGCTAAATAAAACAGTCACAGAATTAATCCTCTCTGCGTCTTTTATGTTTGCAGGCTAATGACTATGTTCTTTGTCGCATCATCAATAAACAAAAGTTACAACTGACGAGGCTAAGAGACAAACAGAAGATGTATATTGTGAATGAGAAGAACGAACCAAATGATCAGGAAGTGAATATTGCCAATGACCAGAAGGATCAGGAGATGGATATTGCCAGTGAAGTTTTAAAGCTTTTAGATGTAGAGGAGATGTATTGATTTCGGTTTGATCGAATCCTTTTGATATTTGAGTACCTCATCATATGATTACATTATTTTGTTTTCGTTTTTAATCCTGTAATTTGATGACTCATGTGAACAACTGGAGAGTTTAAAGGTATTTAATCTTAAGAGAGCTTAAAGATGATACCAAAACTCAACATTTCCATTTTAAGAATGGAAAAACTATCCTCACTATTTGGTATCGATCGTGAAAATGAAAAGGAAGAGCTTAACTCAGCTCCGGATAAAAAGAAAAAGAGGAAGTTATATAAAACAAGATGAAAAAGGAAAAAAGATGCAGAGATGGGGAAAATAAGAGAAGGAACAAAAACTAGAATTAGATATGGGGAAAAATAAGGTCTAGATGAATATTGTCAATGAACAGAATGAACAAAATTATATATTTACACAGTGTCAATTTGCAGCCTAAGTTAAATTCAAATTCAATGTGTTTTTCATCTGACATCTCCTTTAGAGACGTTCTTATGTGTTAGCTTGTTTGCATGTATAAGCTAATTTTACAGATTTACCTACTAATGTGATGAATTACTAATTAGGTACATTTTAAAATAATTTTTAAATATTGTTCAAATTAGGGACATACTATGAATATACAAGTAATAGTCTAAATTACTCTAAATTAATCTAATTTATGAGGACTTGAACTAAGATGGAAAGGGGTGGACGCACTGCTCTGGCCAATTGACCTAACCCACTTGTACTAGCATAACTTAGTTACAGTCAAATGGTATACAAAATTATATAATTAACTTTAAGCTTTATTATTTAAATTACGATACAGTCAAATCCATCCCACATTAAAAAATCATTGGCCATACAATACAAACTTGTGCAATCAACAAGGTCATAGGCACTTAACCTTGTATTGGCCTAGAAGGTCAGGTTGAGTCAAACTTATCACACCATTTGAGAAATCCAAGAGCAGCATCTCTTTCTTTTACGTAGTTGCTCACAGCTAGGGGAGAGTTAGGGTTTGGAGAAGTATATGTTTTTCTTAGTTATTGCAATAATTTATATATGTAATAGCAGAGTATCGTATTCTTGACCAATAAATACAATTAATTAGTTCTACAAATAAGTTACATATTGGAACCAATAATTTAAGATACAAATATTATACTTATATATATATATATATATGTGCTGCTATTTTCATTTGTGTCTTATTTTCTCATTCACTTTATGTTTAAATTTTTAAAAACAAATGTATTCCTTTGTAAAATAACTTTTAAGGACTTAGTGAAAAGGATCTCCATGATTTGCATGCCTTTTCCTCTCAACATTCCACATCATTTAAATTCAATCTAAGAGAGATTTGACATATCACAATTATAAATTAAAAAAAAAAAAACAATTTGCCTTGACAATTCCAAAAATATATATTTATAAGAATGTAAAATACCTGTATAACAGGAAATTCTCCCTCCGAGGACAAAAATATTTATAAACAATTTGCCATGTGAAAAAAATAAAGAAAAAAATATTTTGTTTGGAAGTATCCTCGCCCACACTGTCCTCTATCCCTCCCCTTCCCCCCCAGTCTCTCGTTTTGCTCTTTCTCTCTGAACACTTCCACCAGTTAGAGCATTTCCACCAGTTAGCCCCTTGCTATGGCAAGGGGAGCCCTAGGGCTGCTACTATTCACGTGAATAGTGGCTGCCCTAGCACAAAAAAAATAATTGTGTTTCCAGCAGTGCAAGGCTTGCCATGGCAAATACTATTCATTTTTTTGTTTTTTTTCACAACTTTGTTTACTTAAACAATTAATTTGGATAATATTTTCGGATAAGATTTTTGGGTTTCTACGTGTCAATACTATTCATATCGGATCAGATTTTCGGTTTCAAATTTCAGATACATTTCAAAATTCAAATTTCAGATAAATTCAAAATGTCAAATTTCAGATACATTTCAAAATTCAAATT